TAAGAAAAATGGAAAGGAAGAAAAACTAAGAGATATACAAGCATTATAAGAAAAGACTAAGTAAATATTTCAAAATTACATTAGGTATGTGCTGTATATTGTATCAATTTAGAACTTCTGAACAATATTAAATTCATTCAATACTGTATATAATGATTAATAATGATAAAAGTATAATATGAACAATAAATCAAAATGAGAATATCTGCCTAATCTAAATCTAAGAAAGCTGCCCTCATTTAGCAAATGAAACAAAACCTTAGATATGAAAGTCTTAGCTAAAAGAAACCCAAACTTTTCTGTGTGCCTTCGACTCCTATTGACTGCCTGGACAGGTCCCTACAGTTTTCAGAAATGGTTTTCCATTGCCTCCTTCCCAGGGCTGAGAGAGAGTAACTGGCCCAAGGTCAGCCACTTGGCTTTGTGCCTGAAGTGAGACCACCACTCCAAACTGGCTCTCTTATCTGGCTTAGTGCTAGGTAAAATTGCCCTTGTATTCAAAAGGAAAGGAACATCCCCCTCAAGAATAGATGTACCTTGGATAATCTCTGACCATTGTCCAGACTGTGGATCCTCCTCCTCCACCTGCCCGTATCCCAAGATTATTCTTCTAGCCCGCTACAGTGACTTTGGAGGACAAGTAAAATGTATCTAGACATTTCAACCAAGTTGCAGCTACAGATGGTTCCAGCTGGGTTTTTTCCCCCAAGCACGGGGGCTACTCAGAGGGTCTTATTAAGCTTATCAGAGAAAGTCCAAAAGAAATGATGTCCTGTACTGTTTCAAGCTAGCATCCCTATAAAAAGGGGAACCAAAGGGACTCAATAGCCATTTTCTCTAAATATCTTCACTCTTTTAAAAAGAAAAGAATTGAGCCTGAGAAAACTTTGGCCTTGTGAAAAAAATATTAAATAAATACTCAGCAGGTCACTACAATGATGATATTCTACTTTTAAGATGGCCAATTCACTAACTCTCCTTTACAGAGAAGTTAATATGTATCTCAAGGTCATCTCAGGAGCTTTCTAATGTTAAGATAACTATGAGCTTAACCTCGGTTGCTTCTGTTCTCCCTCTCCCTCTCTCTTTCTTTTCAGGACAAATAAGCAAAGTGGAAAACCTTAGGAATAAAGGCGTTCTATATATCATGGAATTCTAATTTTTCCAGACTTTCAGATCACAGAGTCCAATTCCCTTGAAGTTTCCCTTGTGGAAAACCCCCAAGGGAAGGAGGTTCTCCCTACTTTGTTTTGAAGGATGCTGCAAAGGATCTCCTGCGCGAGCTGCACTGGCTCCCAGTGGTCTTCCGTGTGTGCTTCAAGGTTTTGGTTACTACCTTTAGAGCGCTCCATGGCTTAGGACCTGGTTATCTACGGGACCGCCTGCTGCCACCAGTAGCCTCCCACCGGCCGGTACGCTCCCCTAGAGAGGGGCTCCTCCGGGTGCCGTTGGCCAAACAATGTCGACTGGTGGCCCCCAGGGGAAGAGCCTTCTCTGTGGGGCGCCTACTATCTGGAATGAGCTCCCCCCAGAGGTACGGAGGATCCCGGATCTGCGCACCTTCCGTCGCGCTCTCAAGACTTTTTTATTCCATCAAGCCGGCCTGGCCTAAATCTTTCCCCTTTAAAATGTAAATTTTAAATCTGTTCTTAATTATTGGGGTGTTTTAAATCTGTCTTGGGCCAAATTGTTTAATTCAGTTTTATTTTGTTTTTAAATTTTGTATTTATGTGTTTTATCTTGTGGCTGTTCACCGCCCTGAGTCCTTCGGGAGTAGGGCGGTATATAAATCAAATAAAACCTAAAACCTAAAAGAGGACTTAAGCAGTTCAGCCTTCTCCCTGTTGTGAGTCAGGTGTTATGTCTCTGTGTGTTAAGGTTTACTGCTTTGGTTTTGGTTCTGGGTTTTGGTCTTTTTCCTTCTCCCAGTTATTTTAAGCCCACCAGATGACCTGATCGAGATGGCATCCAGCCTTGGAAATATATTCTTTAAAGATGGTATAAAATGCATCTTCGTGCCACTTTTAGCAAAATGTGAGGATGAGACATTATGTGAAGTAAGAAGACATTAAATTTTCATGTTAATGTATAATATTGCATAAACCAATGCCTATCATATTGAGTAAATCAATGCAGAAGTATCCCTGGAGAGGGAGTCAAGATGGCAGCCGCAATTGCAAGATCAAACCTCAGAATAAAAAATTGGCCATGTTCTCACAGAACACACTTAACAAGGTAAATTGTCACCTTATTTCCAAACTAGACAGATCTGGGGCAGTTGAATCCAAACTGCACTGGAGCAATTGTCATCTAACGCTAAACTTGGCAAACTTTGGGAGAGCCATGACACAAAGACGGACCATGGAGGAGCAGAAAAGGCAAGGTGTCCCCTACGGTTGAGCTTTGGGGCAGCCACAGGTCACAACCGCAAACCCCTGGCTGGCTGGCTGGTTGCCTGCCTGCCCTTCGGAAAAGCTGCAGCTGACACAGAGCCGTCTTGCTTGCACACCCAGGCCCAGACAGAAGAAGGGAAAAGGATTCTGCACTGCCCTGAATGGCAGCTCCTGACCGAGTTAGCCTGGCCACCTGCTCTTGATCACCGAGTAAGGAAACACACAACTGGGTTGAGCAGGCTGTGTAAATGGAGCCACCGACTGTCGCACTTCCTTTGTGGTGAAACGTCTGAAGTGTGGAGCCCAAAGAAAAGAAAAATAGTGCTATTCTTCCACTTTCACACAGAAAAACACATTTGTTTAAATTCATTGTTTATTTATATTCATTACAATTTTTTCATAGAAGAATAATCAAATGAGGAAGTAAGTGTAAGAAACATTCATATAAATTCATGTACACATTCTATTTATCTCTAACCGGAAGTCAGTTCCAGGTACCCTTCAGTGCTGAGCGAAATACTGAGCGGTAAATCAAAGGGCAGCACCGTTTTTAATCTTCATGTGACTTTTTATCTAGATTTCTGATTTTCAACAACTTGTGAAGCCCCCACTAACTAGAGTGCTACACTGCATCCCGTAACAAATGTAACAAGTCCAAAATGGTGACGGTTCAGAATTCAGGCCACTGGATTGGAAACTTTAGCTATGAAAGGTTCCATGCAGGTGAATCAGAATATTATGTGGTTTTGCACCACGTGAGAATTCCTGCTGATCCCAAAGAAGGAAATATTTCCTCTAAGGTTGCCACAGACAACAGACAACACATGCAAAGAAATGAAATGATGTGCGTTGGCTTATGTAAACTGCTCGCAGAATTTCCATTTTGCTGGATTTATTTTATTTCTTCCAAAACAGTCAGACGTGCAAAAACAACACTCATGAAATGCATTTTAAATGCAACAACTCATGTTGAACCAAAGGGATTAAAAGGCAAGAATAGACAACTATGCAAATTGAGAGGAAGACTAATGGTGCTGGGAGGTTCCCCAAGGAGAACTCTCTGAAATTGGGCTCCAAGGGCGTTGTGTCCACGGTGGGCCCAGTTAACTGAGCTCTGCACTTTAAAAGCACCTTCAAGTCATACGATTCCAAAACCTCTCCTTGATACCAGGTTCTATGAAGCGTTTGTCTCAACGGGTGCTCCCAGTTGGAGGAATTTGACATTTTACTGAAAATGGTTCCTGTGCCTCCCCCCCCCACCCACCCCACCCCCATTGCTGCTTCAGAATTTAACTCCTAGCTGCTTCTGGTATTGTCTTTTGCTGCTGGATTCATTTGATTTCATGCCCCGTGTCAAGTTTTGCTGGCTGGATTTGGGAGATGACTCTACTCCTGAACGGCGGTGGCATTTTCCATGATTCTATGCACGCTGTCGTCTGTTATAAACTACCGAGGAGCAACGGCTGCTCCGCTTTCAGCCAAGCCGAGGGACAGTGAGTCAGTAGAACAGGCAGGTGGGGATGTCGAGGGAGGAGTTTACTGTAAACTGCCTATGAATCAACCATGCGAAGGAGCTGCGAAAAAGGCCGGCTTAATTTTAGGCTATCTCAACACAAGTCCCAAACCATAGGAAGTAATCAATCCATTCCACTGCGCGTTAGTCATGTCTCAAATACTCTGCCCGGTTCTGGGTGCCACATTTTACAGAAGGTCCAGAAAAGCTGGACTTCCGAGGAGCAAAAATCCCTTCCTGCAAAGCGAGACTGAAGAATTGAGGAGGCTTCGCCGAGGGAGGGGGAGGGAGAGGCCAAGGGTGCCACGCAAACCCGCACCATCTACGGCCACAGCAAGCAGGCCATCTGGGGGGTGGACCTGGGGGGAGGAGGGAGTTCTCGCCCATTCCAGACTGCAGAAACCAGGAAAGTCGTCTGAGCCACAGGAAGGCAGCTTCTCATTGAGCGTTAGGGCAAAAGGCGGCTTGAGGGGCAACAGGGCAACCAAGGGGACTCCTTCCCTGGGAGCTTTTGTGGCACAGAAAACCAGCCGCCATTAAGGCTGGGACGGTCCAGGTTCAGTTCCGGCACTGAGCGGGGGGGGGGGGGGCTTCATTCCAGCTCTCTCTATGAACACCATCATTCAGCTTCAGCTTCCATTACACGCATTTCGTGAAGCTGTCATTAGGTGGTGTGTATCTTCTGGGTGTCTTTCAAAGCAGGTGTGTGCCGTTGATCCCTCCTTCCGCATTTGTTCCTCTTGGGTCGTAAATAAGACAGCTGGGCCAGCAGGAGACCCGCCGCCTTCCCCCTCCTGCCCCAAGGCCACGCACGGCAGAAACCAGCCACGCCAGCGAAGCGGATCGCCTCCCCGGAGACGCCGATGCCCGCCCGTTCGTCCCTCGAAGCGCCCGAGGCCTCCACGCCGGACGCGCGGCTGCCTCCTCCCTGACAGGCGCAGAAGCCTCCGCGCGTGCGAAGATCAAAACCGGGCAGCGGACCCCCCCCTCACCTCACACTCCCGCCCTCCTGGCGGCCGGGGCGGCGCATGCGCTGTGCGGCCGGAGCGGGGGAACTCTGGGATGTTTTCCCTCGGCTGCCTCTTTCTCCGCCAGCGCCGCAGCCGCAACCACGGAAGGCGCCCGGCTGGTCGGCCATGGAGAGCCCCCTCGCGGAGTCCTGAGCGCCCGGGCGAGAAGGGCCCCGGGGGCGCGTCCACCTGCCCCTTCGCCCGCCGGCCGCTTCCGCCCCTGCTCGCCCGCGGCCGCGCTCGCCGACCATGGGCAACGAAGCCAGCCTGGAGGGCGGCGAAAGGCCGGCCGGGCTGCCCGAAGGTGTGGCCGGGGCCGCTGCGGGAGACCTGGCGGGGGACCTGAGCCGCTTAAGCCCGGAGGAGCGCAGGCAGATCGCCGCCGTCATGTCAAGGGCGCAGCAGGCGCTGCCCGCAGGAAAGACCGCCGGCCCGGAGGCGCCTCCCTTGACAAGGCACGCCCGGGGGGGGGCGGGGGCGATGGAGCAGAGGGTCGCTCCAGGATGGGCCTGCCACACGGGCCGCCTTTCCTTGGGGAGGGGGGTTCCGTCCCCGCCGTCCTCTCTGCCGCTCGCTGTGGGAAAGCTTTCCAGGGCTCCTCCGGCGTGGAGGGGCTAAGCGTCGGTCTTCGTGCCTCCCACCCGGCCCCCTCCCTGCGGTGTTTACCTCAGCTAAAACGGGAGCAGCTTCTGCTTCACGGGGGGGGGGGTGCGGTGCGGGGGGGGGGGTTGATTCTCGGCCCGAAGCTCTGCAGCACCCCCCCCCCACCGGTTTGGAAGTCGTCTCTTAACATCAGCCCTCCTCCCTTGGGCGCTGGGTTGCAGCAGCCGGCCTGGGCTACCTATTGAGGCCAATGAGGAGGATGAAGGGAGGTTGGCGGGGCCACCGGGATCGATCTGCCCATGGCTCCCCCGCCCTTCGCCCAGAGGCCGCCGGCATCTCCTGACGCCCTCTCGGCCGGCAGGGCCCAGCAGCTGTCCAGGGTGCTGAAAGGGCCGCTTCCTCTCCCGCCGCTGCCTGTGGAGGCTTCTTAGCCGCCGCAGGCAGACAGCCGTGGTGCAATATGCTGTGTGCTACGGGTGTGTTTGTAGAGTGTAAAACGTTTTTGCCAAACTCACATTCTGGGAGCCTGACAATGGAAGTCTGGAGCCACCGTTAGATTCGTTGTTGCTATTGTAGCAATTGGTATAATTGTGTCTCAAAATTTCCTTATTAGAATACAACCAGAAAACACAGGAGATTTGTATGCACTATTCAAAAACAGGAAAAAGCAGAAAAAATGTAGGCTAAAGTGGCCAATGTTTGGTGTAACTTCCCCTTATACCTGAGCAACAGCCGATCCCTGGTTCCCCTCAGCCTGAATGGAAGGGAACCCTAAGCGCTGTCATTGCTGACACCTGTGTGGGGTCCTACTATGTCATGCCAAAATGACGGCTGTGAAAAAAGGTCTGTTACACCAGACCTTGTTCAAGACCCGCTTGAGCATGACATACAGTACAGTCACATGTTGTATAAGCCTGTGTGTATGTAATAGCACTTAGACTTAGATTTAGCACTTAGATTATATAAATAGTCTAAATCTATATAAGTAACATGATTTATACAAGAAAATGATGCAACAATTGAAAAATGTTATCTGTTCAATTGATTTGCCATAACAGAGTTTGGATCTAAATTAGTGTTTTTTTTCCTACTGACACTGCACAGAATAATTTTAAAATTTTCCTGCATAGGAAGATAAATATAGTATCTCAACAGATTGGTACATATTCTCTGCAAACATGTATAGCTCTTTAAAGGAAATATAAAGTAATATATATATATATATATATACTTAGCACTAATTATTTGCCCGACTTGTTCAATGACAATTTCTCCCTATTTTGTATATTTCAATCTTAATGGAATTAACTTAATCTAAAGTAACAGGTTTTATGGATTGCAAACAGTAGAAAGATATCCCACATAAATACAGCTTGGTTAATGTTTTACTTGATGTACGTAATGTTTTATATGCTCTCTAACGTCGTAGCAACTATATGCATGGTACATCTATGGCCTACAATTTAGGCTGAATGAGGTGGCCATCTAAACCAACAGATGTTCTGCATCCTGTTAAAGCTTGATATTCAATTTGTTCTATGTACTTACTGCCACATGTCTTATATGTTTTGTGTTCTTTTTATCTTAACTTAGTTGACTGGAGACTTTCCCATTTTTGCTCCATCTCCGGTTTCACCTATTTATTACTTTGTCTTACTTACTGCTACCAATAGTACAAACTAATTTCTAAACCATTTCTCATTCTTGTACCTATCTTTATTGAAGTTAATGTATACCTTGGCCTATCTTTTGCAATAACTTTTATCTATGCCTAAATACCTGTTGGCAGGTTGGCTTGTTTTTCTTCACTAAGAGGTGTATGTTAATTAGATTTAAAATATGATGCATTACTGACAATATTAATTTCTACCTAGAAACATTGCCAATTATCTTCAGTTGTGAAGTGGTTGAAATGCAAAATCTTTCTGCCCACCCAACATTTATACACTATCAAAAAGGTGCCTCATTTGGGGAAATTCATCCAATGGATTAGTTATTTTTTAATCTTCACTTTCCACGCCGCTGATAAAATAGCTATCCTGGACTAGAGGTTTTTTTTAGAAAAAACTAGGATTCATTCCCGTGTAAACGTTTTTAAATAGAGCCAAGTTGTGGCTCCTTAGACTGTCCTAGCGTAGAGGAAAGTTGGACTCAACCAGGAGGAGTATTGGAAGGGAAAACTGGAGGTTTCCGTGAAATGCACTGGGCCTCCCAAGGCAAGATGGTGGAGTGGCCGTCAGCTTTGGGAAATGATCGGACAGGACTAAGGCTCAGCGACTGGAGGGTACTCGCTGTTTGCTGGGATACCTCAATATGTGACTCCTCACAAGCCATTGGTAGAGTCCCTAGAGCACTCCCAGGCTTGCTTCAATTTCATCCGACATCTTCTGAAGCTTAGACCATCCTTTACTGTTGCTCAATATATTAATTTTATCTTGGGAGAATGTGTGTGTCTGTATGTATGAGTGGGTTTGGGATAGATTGAAATTTAAATTATTAGAATGGAAGGAGTGGGTTTGGAATGGCTGGAATTAGGGAGAATGAGGGAGCCGGGGGCAGGGAGTGGAGTCCCCTCTGCTGAGTGTGCAAGCAGAAGCAGATGGGGGCTTAGATATGACCTCCGGTTTGGTATGAGTGGGGTGCCTTGCCTGCTGGGGAGGTGGGGGGTTGCTGAGGTGGGGAAGGGGATCTCTGGGGGATGGAGAGCCAGAACATTGCAGTTATGACTGGGAGAGGTAGATATGGCAGGAGCCAAGGGGTAGGCCACTCTCGGGGAACTAGGATTCGCTGCCTCGAAGTGATTACTTGTTCCGGCCCCTTTGGTTTTGGTTCACTGGGCTCACCTCGTATACCTGGTGACTTGGGATGTCAGGGCCCTGGCCTCAGGCTGCTGCTGTTTAATGCCAGGTCTGTTGTTAACAAGGCTCCCCTTGTTTGGGACTTAATCCCGGAGGAGGGGGCTGACATGGCATGTATAACTGACACGTGGCTGGGCCAGGAGGGGGGTGTGCCCCTCTCAGAGATGTGCCCAGACGGGTTTCAGATATTGCATCAGCCACGATTACAGGGAAGGGGTGGAGGAGTGGCAGCTATTGTCCGGAAGAGTCTTGGTCCTTGCAGGATCCCTGCCTCGGAGATTGTTGGGTGTGAGTCTCTCCTCTTGAGGTTGGACTCATGGGTTCAGTTGGGCTTGTTGTTGATGTACCTGCCTCCCAGCTGCGTGACAACAGCCTTACCTGTGCTGCTAGAGGCAACATCCGGGTTGGCGGTAGAGTTCCCCAGCTTATGGTACTGGGGGACTTCAACCTGCCGTCACTTGGCAAATCCTCAGATGTGGCTCAGGAGTTCATGGCTTCCATGACAACCATGGACCTGACCCAAGTAGTTCAGGATCCAACCCATGAGGGGGGACATATGCTCGACCTGGTGTTTCTCTTGGGGCAGTGGAGACAGGTTCTGGACTTAAGGGGTATAGAGGTTTTTCCCTTGTCGTGGTCAGATCATTTCCTGTTGAGGTTGGACTTTAAGACACCACTCCTCCATCGCAGGGAGGCGGAACCGATTAAGTGGTTCCGCCCCAGACGCCTAATGGATCCTGAGGGGTTTCAGAAGGAGCTTGGGGAGATACCTGACTCCCTTGTCCACAGTCCGGCTGAGACCCTAGTGGCTGCCTGGAATAGGGCGGCATCCAGGGCATTGGACCGGATTGTACCTTTGCGGCCTCTCAATGGCAGTGGATCCAGGAAATCTCCCTGGTTTACCGAGGAGCTCTGGGAGATGAAGTGCCAGAAGAGTCTAGAACATCTAGAGCGACGCTGGAGGACCAGTAAATCTGAATCTGACCGAACACTCTTGAGAGCCTTTATTAGGACTTATTTGGTGGCAATACGGGCGGCAAAGTGCTCACATTTTTCCGCACTTATTGCATCCACTGATTCTCGCCCAGCCACCCTATTTAAGGTGACTCACTCCCTCCTTAATGCAGGGGGAGCGGAGGAGCCCTTGCAGGGTAGAGCTGAGGAGTTTGTGCAGTTTCTATCTGATAAAGTCACTCAGATTCGGATGGACCTGGACTCTGATTGGGCAATACCAACCGAGATGATGGGGGCGGGTCTTAGTCCTATTGTGTGGGAGGAGTTTGAGCTGGTGACTCCTGAGGAAGTGGACAAGACTGTAGGTGTGATGAGTTCCTCCACTTGTTTGTTGGACCCGTGCCCCTTCTGCCTGGTTTCAGCCAGCAGGGAGGTGACACGAGGCTGGCTCCAGGCTTTAGTTAATGCGTCCTTGAGGAGGGGTCCTTCCCGCAACCATTAAAGGAAGTGGTTGTAAGGCCCCTCCTCAAGAAGCCTTCCCTGGACCCAGCAGAATTAAAGAACTTTCGGCAAGTCTCCAACCTACACTTTGTGGGAAAGGTTGTAGAGAAAGTGGTGGCACTTCAGCTCCTGCGGTCATTAGATGAAACGGATTATCTGGACTCTTTTCTGGCTTCAGGCCTGGCTACAGCATGGCGAGCCCGAGGTGGGGGACATTCCTCTATCTTGGTGCTTCTTGACCTCTCAGCAGCTTTCGATACCATTGACCATGGTATCCTTCTGGGATGACTAAGGGAGTTGGGAGTGGGAGGCACCGTGTTGCAGTGGTTTTTTTTTAAAATTAATATTATTTTTTTATTTGATTTATATGCCGCCCTTCTCCGGAGACTCAGAGCAGCTTACAATGCATTAAGCAATAGCCTTCATACTTTTGTATATTTATACAAAGTCAGCTTATTGCCCCCACAAACTGGATCCTCATTTTACCTACCTTAGAAAGGATGGAAGGCTGAGTCAACCTTGAGCCTGGTGAGATTCGA